CGCATAGCTCGCGCAGCATTGCAGCCGAGATCAAAGAGAGGGAGAGGAGAGGGTTGCGCAAATTTATAGCGCGGGAGACGGCGGGTTAACGGCGCGAGGTGCGGGCAGCGCAGGGTACAGAGGAGCAGGACTGGAGAGAGAGGTGGGGAGTTAGAGGGTTCAACCCGCGGGATTGAATGGCTACGTGATTGGGGTGTTCGTTCAAGTGGTGCTCAGTTTCCCGCTTTCCACATTGATCCGAGCATCCCAACTACGCAGCCAATCACTTCGCAGAAGAAGACAGGGTAAGGATCAAGCTGGGCGTAGGGGAAGACGAAGAGTCCTGCATGGGGAAAATGCGCACAGCAAGAAGGGAAGATGGCGCGAGGATGCAAAGCAAGAAACGGGGATGCGAGACGCGCGAAGAAATCGGAGCTTGGGCGGGCGCGCAAAAATTCAAAAAAGTCCCAACCGCACCCGTTTCTTGATTTTCATACCGCGGCCGCTATTCGCCCGCGGGAGTTATTAACCAAACAAAATGAAAAAGGCCGTTTCAAAAAGAAAACAAAAGCTAAAAGAAAGAAAAGCCCCTTTCTATCTGCGTCCGTACTTCGGGGCTTCCGCGGGGTTTTCCCTCAAGGATACGGCAAGCCGCGCGGTACGGATCTGAGCTTATCACAGGTTACCCTGTTATACAAGAAGGTACCTCCCGGTATCCTTGTAGAGAAACTTCTGAAAAAAAAATGGTATATCTGCACCTTTCGGGTAGATCAGAGTACACGGGTAGCAAACCAAACCCTTATGTCTGCAATTTGCCCCCTATTTTTGTGTTTCATGGACCTAGCAAACGACCACCGACTGAGTCGTCACACCCTTCATAATTGGTTTGGAACCTGAAACTGCATGTCTTCTACACAGAGATGCAGAAAACCACAGTAATCGCAATTTTTCTGCACTTCTCCACAAACACGTCCTGATTCTGTGATTCATTCCAATGCTCTTTCCCTAGTGGGACCTGGCCCCTGGTGTAGCACAGCCCTGGAGATAAATTGACAGCAAAAGGAAACCTTTCATTGTTCTGAAGAAGAAAAGGGGCCGGGGTCCCCACAGTCTACCCGGAAACGAGCCCAGTGCTCAAGGCTGAACCAATCCTCAATGGACCGGAACCGAAAAGAAAATATCTTGAGGAGATCCACCTCTCTCTGCAACTGCTATCCACCAAGTATCACCAAGAAAAACTTGAAAAAACATACCTACCATCTTCCATCCCCTTGTGTGCCATCTTCACCTGCACAGAACACCTGGTCACTTTTATAGCGGTATTTGGAAGACCTTTCAGTCTAGATACAGCTAATATAATGACCCCATTCTATTGGGGTCAAGACTGTAGACCACACCATCTACCGGTTGGGACACACAGGTTGCAGATCACCCATTGCAGACCTGTGTCCTTAACCATCTTTTACCACCAAACAAGACTGAACGAAACATATTTATATTTCTGCAGACAGCCCCAAAAAACTGAGGGGGTATTCACCACACTACTGTAGTAGGACTTCCTTGTCAACCTACCTGTAGTTGTAATTGCGGTCAGGTGCATCCAGGCCTGGCCATAAAAGCCGTCAGATGCATCTATGAAAGTTCTCGTGCAAGTACCTCCTTAGCAGGTAAGGACTATAATAGCCGCTTACTACATGCATCGACTCCAGTGGGACTAATGGCAGTGCTGCTGCTCACAATATTAACTCGCAAACTCGGATTCGCATTCGGATTGTCCTTCTCGCCTTGCCCGACCACCAGTACAAGTCGTGGAGCGGCCAGCTTCTCGCTTGAAGGAAGCAGCAGAGCAGTGTCTTCCTTCGGAGGCTGAGGAACCGCACTACTATGTGGAAGACGCTGCCGCACGTACCCGTAAAACGTGCACCCTGCCAAGGTAATCCCACAGCCAAGCACATTAAGGAAAGACATAGGGTTCTGGAAAATGAGCCAGGAGACCAGTATGGCCACCGCCACCTTCATGTTGCCAGCAACGTTGAACGTGACAGCGGTCGTCACTTGAATGACATAAAATATGGAGAAATTGAGCAAGAAGGCGATGGCCCCACTGAGCAAGATCACCACAATCACAGGCATACAGACTGAGAAGGACCCTCGGCTCAGCCAAAGTGTTACGCCCTCGCCCTCCAAAAGCACTGCCGGGAAGACCAGTAGCAAAGCTGCATAGGGAGCCATGTGGTAGACAGTATTGAGTGAGTCAAACTTGTACCCATGCAGGAGCGTCTCGGCTAGTATCGTCTTCGTCGACGTCACCAAACAACCCATGAAGGCAGCTAGGAACCCATACAACTCAAAGGTCTGCTCCGTCACGCTTGTTAGCACAATGCCGCCCACCGTTGGCAGCAGGGATAGCCATACCCGCACGTCGAAATGCCTGCCCCAGACAAGCCGCTGGAGCACCACCGTGGTCGCAGGTGTGAAGGACTTGATTGTCTGAAAGAAGGACACAGGGATCCAACGAAGACTGACATTGCCTAGAACTATGTTGACGCAGAACACGACCGACATTGGGAAAAGCCGACGCCATTTGTCGGCGGGGCTCACCTCGACCAATGGCTTCAAGGCGAGCACCCTAAGGGCGACGACTGCACCGATGGTGGAGACGACGAAGTGGACCGTTGACAGAGTCAGGGGGAACTTGAAATCGTACTTTTGAAAAATCCATTTGTTCAAGATGATTGTCAGGACATTGAAGAACCACCACTGGAGAATAGCAAAAGCTTGTCGGAGCTGGGACCAACCCGAAGCCGCTGCAGCCATGTCTCACACACAGTCGTGAGCGAGCAAGCCAGGGTGTCAGGGTGTCTTCTCGCCACAACGAGATCGAGATCGAGCCCTCTCTCCCTCTCCAAAAAGGCTCCCTACCCTAGCACCACATCTCTTGCAGTTCTCACTGCATTTTCTTTTCTTTTCTTTTCTTAAGAGGTTGTGAGGAGTGTCGGGGATTGCACCAAGCGAGGGAATCCGCCAGAAGGCTGCACGCACTGGGGTCAGCCCACCGGGTGGCACAACGGACCCACCCACGCACAGATCCTGTCACCAAGTTACGTTCCAACTTGGAAGTTGGCAATGATACCAATCAAATCACCCAGGCACACCCCATCTCTATTCATAGGCCACTCAGTCACAGGTAGGTACTTTTCTTTTTCTTTTTTCTTTTTTTTCAGGTAGGTACTTTTCTACCCACGGAGAAAAGAAAACAATCAGAAGAAGGAGAAGAAGAAGGAGGAGGAGGAGGATACGACGAAGAAGAAGAAGCCCCAGCAACCAATTGCAGCATAGGTACCCCAGCAGAGAAGTCCATACACGCCTCCGTGAGCTGGGCCAGGCAGGCAAACTGCGCTGCCAGCCAAGCTAGTGTAGGCTTCCCTGACAGTGTGCTGCTGGAGGTCCCAAGACAGAACTCGCACAGTTATTTTTGGCTCAAAGATTACCCACCGCTACTTTTCTATTGCCCTATTCTATCTAACTTTGATACTCAATTTCCATGTTAGCTTTGTTGTCTCAAAATGACTCTGATTAGTATTAAGCGTTAAGGACCTCACTGCACTAACTCAACATTCGCCACGTATCTGGACTGGAGTTTAGGTCAGATACGTTCGGGCTGATCAAACATTTAAATGGACTACGTACCACCACCAGGTCCAGATAGTTTTGGAATGTTTTGCAGTCGAGAAAGGCCCTTATTTAGTAAATAAAGCTCAGGACTTGTTCTTACAACAGCGGAGCAGGCTTTGTCCATAGGTAGCATCTTCTTCTTACATAACCAAACTACCATATGAGTCTTATATATCTATATCTATATCTATTTATCTATCTGATGAGTCGGTGAAACTCCGACGAAACAGTTTGTCACAGCCCCTCGTTTGTTGTCCTCTTCTCCCTCTCTGCCTACGGTTTACCGGGCAGTTCTATTTGACTATATATATANATATATATATATATATATATATATATATATATATATATATATATATATATATATATATATATTGTCACAAAATTATCATATATATATAGTTTTCTAGTCCACCTCTTTCAACCTGTCTGCGTCCTGCCAACCACTGCAGCGGTTAGCTTCTTTTTTTTTTTTTTTTCTTTTTTTTTTTTTTGCAGCGGTTAGTTTTCTGAAACAAGGTGTGCAAAGCAAAGCAGGTCTTGCACAATTGGTTTCAGAAGAAGGTGAGAAGGAAATTAGAGAGGTTTATGAAGCCGAGCTCACAAAGTTTACCAACACGTCCCAAAATAAATAAAAAAAAGAAAAGAAAGAAAGCTATGGATCTCGACGTGTCTGTCTTGCTTTGCTCATCCCAGATCCCGACTATGGACAGCGTTTAATTACTCTCGAAACAACGGAGAAGTGTAGCGTACATGAATCGAATCACATTTTGTATCGACGATCCCGATCAGACGGCGGCCACGGCGGCGAATGTGTATTGTGTGTATGCTGCAGGGGGTCCTGATCGATCGAAGCAATTGACGTAAATAGGTTAGTTAGGACCAAAAAAGAGAAAAAGGGGGGGGAAAAAAGAGTTATGGGTCCTGAGGGCGAACCACGCACCCACTCTCAGGGCGTTGGTAACACAGTCGAAGAACTTTTTTGATTGATTGACAGTTTTTTTGGAGGTAATCGCGGTCAGGTTCCTCCCACGCGGGCCGTTATGGCGGTCAGGTACATCCCAGGTCGTTGAAGTCAAGTTCCGGGTCCCGACTCTATGTGCCAGATACGGACACAGCCATTGGACGACTTAGATGCCGCGGAAGGGCGGGGGAGAAGGGGGGGGGGAGGGGGGGAGCGGGGGAGGAGAGGGTCTACAACGGCGGAATCGAGTTATCGGCGTGTCTGTATCTGGCATGAAATTGGCGCTAAGTACAGACCCCTAGCCATCGATCCGATGATTCGACGTTCTGCTTGCTTGCTGTAGGGAAGAAGATGGGAGAGAGTAGTCGTACGCTCTCTCCAGAAGATGGCCATAAGCTCTCTGAGCTTTGAACCGAATGCCACGTCAGATCAACCAAGCGGTTGCCGAGGGACACCTGGCAGCTTTGCAAGCCGTCGATGGCCGACGATCATCAGACTGTGGAGAAAAGGGGAGGCAGGTGTCGTGCTCTCTTAGAAACAGATCGTCCTGTGCTCTGGCATTTTTCGAACCGAATGCCACGACAGCTCAATCAAGCAGTAGCCGAGGGACACGTGGCGGCGGCTTTGCGCACGTTGTTGTTGTTGTCGTCGACGGGCTGACGATGTACTTAATCTGGGGAGGAGGGGAGCGAGTAGTCCTGCTCTCTCTCTGCAGAAGGTCGTCCGCTGCACTGACCTGTAAACGGAATGTCACGTCAGCAGCTCACCCAAGCGATCGAGGAGGGACACGTGTCGGCTTCGCGGACGTCGATGGCCCGAGGATCCACTTACTGGGGAGAAGAGGGAAGCGAGTAATCGTGGGCCCTCTGCAAGAGATCGTCCTGCGCTCTGACCTTGGAAGCAGCGACTGCCACGTCAGCACTGTCAAGCGGTGGACGTCGGACAGCTGGCGGCTTCGCAGGCGTCGTCGTCGTTGTCGTCGTCGTCGTCGTCGTTGTCGTCGTTGTCGTCGTTGATGGCAGTACTAACAGGCTTTTCATGTCCTTGAAGTGTAACTCCAGTAATCGGATGAGATCATAGTACAGGTCGCTAGCGTAGTTTGGGCAGGGTCGGCTAGTGACGACGGAGTAGAGAAACGATGCCAACGCGCCAGCCATGCACGCACGCTCAAGCGGCGGCATGTCCCATAACGAATCAAGATCCACCTCGAATGGGTTGCGGCTGTTGTTGAAGCAGGGTCCAATTGGGAGGACAAGGGAGATAAGCTCCTCCGCAATGTGCCAGACTCGGAGATGGAGGGGTTGCCAATTTCGTATGGAGGCTAAGTTCAAAGGGACATCTCTGTCCAGTTTGTCGGCGGCTGCAACTTTGGTGTTCAGAGTTGTGGACCTCAACCACACGTACGGTCCTTTGTATCGAGCGTAGGCACCGATCATGAAGATAGTCTGAGCGCGTGAGTTCTGGCTATGGTGATCTTCGGAGGAGGCAGGGCTGGCAGGAGGTAGAGCTTGGGAGCAGACGAGGTTCTCAACGACCGGTAGCAACCGTCTTCCAGGGGTGTGAACTCCAGCACTCAGGGAGGTCGTTGGTGTGTTGCGACCGGTAGTGTTGACCCCACACTCGGGTGGTGGGGGGGTGACTGCTGACCCTTGAGAGTGGGCGGAGCCGCTGTACAATCCCCCCAGATGTACTAGATCGGGAGAATGCCGTACGGAAACCACCAGCTCCTCCCGCCCTCTCAGATAAACGCTGAAGTGACGGAAATGCCGGAGGCATCCGAATCGCAGCATGTCCCTGTACAATTCTTCCATGACGGCAGCTTGCTCATCTTTCAGCCGGAGGCAGTCGAAAAGCAGACAGCCCCCCCACAAGACTCTCTCTACGCGAGCCTCGTGCTTTTCTTGGCTTTTCTTCTCCTGCGAACCGCCCCTTGGATCTCAGCCTCCTCCTCCTTGTCCAGCGATGATGCTGCTCTGTTCCTCTCGTCTGCAATTGGAAGCCTTCGACCCCACCACCCAAGAAAGACGCAAAAGCAAAAACGCAAACGCAATCCTTATACCCCCGCCCGAAGTTGTCGGTTAGAGGTCTGGCGGCTATTGACGGCCTGAGATATCTTTCGGAGAACGGCAATCGATAGCCGTTCCCAGCAAAGACACGGCAATTTTTCGGTCCTGCGGGCCTAACTCAGTTGGTAAGGCTCGCAAGTGGCATTCAGGAGGTCGTGGGTTCAATCCCCACTGACCTGTCGTACGTTCCTGGGCAAGCTTGGTGTTCTACCAGCTAGAGATAACCGGTTGGCCATGCAAGCCAGCATTGGCAGGACCTTGGCCAATATTGTTGGTTGCTATGCAGCAATGATACTGGCCATTAGACATCGCTAATGTGGGGTTGGAGAGGGGTGGGGGGAGGTGCAAGTGACTGACCAAAGATGCTCGGCACTAGCATCACCGGTTTCCCTCGTCGGCAATGCCTGATCACCCCGCATCATCGTGATGAGGGGCTGATACGAGCCTTGCTCTCGCACCACTGCTGTGGTGCCAACCTACCCTGTGGGCTGGGGAGAGTTCCAGGTCTGGTTGGTGTTCCCCAGTACTATAGGTAGAGCTATTGGAAAGGTAAGAGAAGAAGAAAAGAAAAAAAAAAGAAAAGAAAACAGAAATGAAAATGGTCCTAGACCTGCGGGCCTAGTTGCATTCAGGAGGTCGTGGGCTCAATCCCCATTACCCTCACATATGCCTGGCCAGGTTGTTGTAGAGGTTGGATGCTAGAGAGTATGACAGTCACCTTCGGTAGTCTACCATTTGGTTATCCAGATGGTCTGTAGAGGTCCTTGTTCCTTATGAGACTGTGACGCCCAACCTCACGCCCAGCGCGACTTCCTGTTTTTGGAGTGATAGGGGGCCCGGAAGTGCGTAGTAGGGGTGTGCCAAGGATTTTAGGAAAGTGGGGTGGAGTCCCAGGTCGGAACTGAGATCTCCAGTGTCAAGTTTCAGGGATGGAAATGCAAGCGGTTTCTGTGCGGGGCCAGGTCTTGGGTTTTGCCTTTTTGCAAGGTCGAGCAGCTAATTTTACCGGCCCCGTCGCCTCGGGCGGGCTTGCACCTGGTGCACTGATGGAACACAGTGCATGTCTCTCTGTTCGAACACCTGTCGCTGGCGGGTTTCGCAGATCTCCGAGTCCGATATGGACGGCCGCAGCCGGAAACTGTATTCTCGGTGCTCAGCTTCGGAGCGGGCCCACCGCACGAACCCCACTGCCTGGTAAGTGTTGTACAGACGGCACTCAGAACACGGTCTCCGGGGCCAGCAATGCGCGATCGAATCCCAGGGAACTACCGTCAGATGGTGATAGGGAAGAAGGAGATAGAATTGAGGAAAGTCGGTTTCAATGGCGATGAACCCCGATGTAAGATGATACTGATAATTACGGGGGTCGGGGTAATCTGGGGTTTGGGAATTCCTTCTGGGGGCCTGGTGACAGTCCCAAACACACAACCGATCGTCCTTTGTTTGATACGGGTGGGCTGAAAGCCTTAAGTTCAATCAGCGGAAGAGTTGTTCGTTCTCCCGGTATTCCCTGTACTCGGGGTTCCTCAGACTGGCACGGTCCGTGATCCAGAATGGAATATCCATATTGGGCAAGGGGAGCTTAACTCATACATTTGGTCGTGCAAGGGAGGGAGGTGTCGGGTCAAGCAGACACATGTATACGTGACAACTGCCATCTGGCGATCACTCGTATACGTGCGTGCACCTGATCTATCCCTACCGAATCCGGATCAACTCAGATGGATCAGATGGCCATTCGACGGTCATAAAGAAAGAAGTGGACATTTAATCCTATGCATCGGACGTCAATTGCGTGCAATTGGTATATGGGAAAAATCCAACCCATACTCAGGCATATACACAGATCGCAACCTTCCCGTTCTACATGCATCTGCCTCAATCCAAGTTGGTTTGAGGGGGACAACCCGATCACACATCCAATCGCCACAAGGACATAGTCATTTCAAAGGCGAGCGGAACCATATGCATGTCTCTATGCATCAGCAAGACGTTTTACTTCTTACACCCTCATTTTTACGATCAATCATGAACATACGAAGAGATGAGAGAGGCAAGGACAACTCAAACATCAATCAATCGACGAAAAGAAAATTGGAGAATGCTGCGAGCAAAAAAATGGTTGAAGGCCATAAATCACAGTAAGCCAAAAAAAATCAAAATTAGGCAGAAGATACGAGGAGACAATTCTCACTTCAGCACACCGCTTCCTCGATCGCTCCGACTCTCTCTCAGGGTCCCCACGATGTGGGCAGTCCGTTGTCTCACACCCATCGTCTCGCACCTATCAACAACCTGGAGTTGTCATCCTCCTTAGTCCGAGTATGCAAGCTAAGTTCGCCCGTATGCCACAATCCTTCGCGGCCACACGTCAACCCCCCATGCCCGGCACCAGCTCGCCGGATCGCCCAACTCCCTACTCACCTTTTAGTCTCCGCTCGTTAGTCGATCCTCTTGACCTCGCTTACTCCCAAGTGCATATTAGAGAGCGATATAGTCGCGCTTGCGAGCTTTATAGCAGTCGGTAGTTGCACGAGGTAATTCCGGATTACGCTGAAGCAGGAAGGAGTGAGAAGGAGGGAGTGTCTGCGGGTGCACGACGGGGCCGCGGCGTGTGGGACATAGCCACTCTCCACGCATCGATCCAATCATGCATCTATACGCCAAGGGGATAGGCGGGAAAAAGGTGTAGAGTTCCGCACGGGAAAAAAAAAAATATCGAGAAGGGAGAGGATTACAGTTACGCCCGTGCTCGCCAACAAGAGCAAGAAGAGATTATAGTTGCGATTGGAATTTAGGCGCGGCGGGAGCAGGGCGTAGAGCAGTACCCAGTAATGCGCGCGGGAGTAGAGAACCCTGTGTCGTTACAACAAAACGACGCTCCCAAATTCCTAGCCTAATTAAAATCCTAATTGCAAGAAGAAGTGTCGAGAACCTGTGTAGATTCAAAATTCAAAAAGAAATTCAAGAAACTTCCCCGCGCGGTACTCGCACCAAAAAACTTCTCCACCCAGTTTCGTGATCAACAAAACAAAAAGAAAAGATGTTGCGTCAACCGTTATTTTTTGTGCTCGCTACGGCGCATCCTCTCAAGCGTCGTGGTCCCAGCTTTCCTGAAAAAAACAAGGCATTAGTGCAATTGGGCCCGCCCCCCCCCCCGCCCCCTCTTCTCCATCCTCCCCTTATCTCCAACCCCCCTCAGTACTACTGCGCAGAAGATGGCGCCCTTACAGAAACGAGATCGTCACACCCCATGTTCCTGCCTCGGAGGATTGTCTATGGCCTGTCTCTTATACACATCTAGATGTGTATAAGAGACAGCTCGGTACCACTGCGCAAAAGATGGCGCTCTTACAGAAAAGAGATCGTCACAAGACTCCCGCCGGACCTTCCACTCTCGTTATTTCTCCTTGGTGCACCCGTACTCCCACAATCCTACCTTAGTGTTTACCACCCAGGAGTATCCCCGTCCTATCGTCTCGATGGGGGTGACGTGACCAAACAACAATTGTAGATACCCGGGCTAAGCAGGACCTACCCAACTCAGCCCTAATCAAAGCGTAGTTGGACGAGCCCTGTCATAGGGGAACTTTGAGCGTTAACTTCAAGTTCGAGCACTAGGTGTGGACGTTCTTCTACAAGTCTCATTATAGGTGGACCCATTTGTGTCCCCAAAGTCATTTTTTTATTCGTTGTTTTGCTTGTGCCTTGTTATATTGTTCATTATATGTACCATTGTTTTATCGTAATTGCAACCTGGACGTTCTAAACTATTACCAGCAGATGTACGGCCACCATCCGCCCCTCTACCTATAGATGTCCCCCTATACCCCTCTCTGATCACACTTTTATGGTTGTACTAATGTTATTCTGACCGGTGTTGGTTGTAAGTCATCTGGAGGTACCCTAGCCTCTTTCATTGGTAGGTCTACAGCCACCATTTGTCCCCTTACGTCCGTCATGAACTAAACCCTTCAACCACTATATTGTAAGTTGTCATCACCCAGAGCAGCCCCAGTTTCTCTCATGTACGTACATGCCACCATCTATCCCCGCATCACTATCATCAACTGAGCCTACTCTGGTCTATCCGCCAAAAGGCCCTACCTCGGGACTCTCCCGCCTCATCACTTCCACTAACGGGACCCTCCTATTTTATCCCACCTTCCGCCCTGCCCCTCCAATGCAAAGCCGTAAAATAACATCTACGTGATCAATCCCTCCATGATATCCCTGTCTGCATCCCAACTATCTCTGTGGAGTCTGTGCAATATTTGTTTTACAACGCCTAGCTCAAACTCACAAAGCTAAAGTAACAACTGGATTGCTCGTGCTCTATACTAGACTTGGGGACAAATATGTGGGGTGTCAACCTAGCACCAATAATTGTGCATGGGAGAGGTTAAGGGCAAACATAAGTGAATCGAAAACCTCCCCATTGCAGTGCCAAAGCTCTAACCCATTAAGCTATCATTTCAAAAATTTTCCAAAAGAGCATACCTTGTGTTTCAAACGGTTGCTAGGCCAACATCGTGAAGGATCACAAAGAGTATCTGGCACTAAGAATTGGAATGTCAGTGCAAAACACTAATTTCTACTTCATCATTCCACAAATATAAATTTGCATTCGTCAAACCGGACTTTTTTTTTTTAACGTCATAAATTGACCGTAATTAGGTCGAAATTTTAAGTTCTCAAAGGTCCTGCGTCCTTAAAATGTCGGACCCCCTGGATGTATCTGGAGTTAGTTGGAGTCTCGGGGATACGACGCTCTGAAAATATCGGGCCCCTGGATGTACCTGGACTCAGTTGAAATCTCAGAGGTACGGGGCTCTAAAAATGTCGGACCCCCTGGATCATGTAGTATCTGGATTTAGCAGGCATCTAGAGGGTCGTATCACGCTTTCATAGCATCGTACCTTGAGGAGCTTAAAATATCGAC